ACAACAGTAGACTAGACTCCTCCACACACTCACACTCACAACAGTAGACTCCTCCACACACTCACACTCACAACAGTAGACTAGACTCCAGACTCCAGACACTCGCAACAACAGTAGACTCTTCCACACACTCACACTCACAACAACAGTAGACTAGACTCTTCCAAACACTCACAATAGTTAAGTAAACTAGGCTTTTTTGCACCCGCACTTACAACAGTTAAGACAAATAAGAGTTAAGATGAAGCTCTTTACACTCACAACAGTTAAGATAAAGCTCTTTACATTTACATAGTAGACTAGGCTCTTTACAGTAAAACCTTACTAAAACTTTGTAAAGGCTTTTTACACTCACGACAGCCGACTAGACTCCACAAACAACCACACACACACACACACACACACACACACACACACACACACACACACACACACACACACACACACACACACTAACGACAGCTAGCAGACTCGACTCTTCCACACACACTCACACTCAAAATGTTGGTGCAGATGTCAGTTTTCGTCTCTGCAGCCGCAGTGGTCCACACGCGGCTCATTCAACACGTGCACAGCTCGGGGTAATATCATCTACATGATAATTGTCTCACGACGCAGTGGTATCAGGCGCTCGTCATATTTTTATTTGTTTGTTTTTTTGTTTTTGTTTTTGGTAAGCGTTTTACGGCCATTGCAACTGTATAAGGTCTTTTTTTTTGGGGGGGGGGGGCGGCATAATATGAAGTTATCGGTATCATCTTAAAGATTGTCTTTTGTCTGGTTTTGATGACCAAGATGGCCCAAAACAGACAGAGCTGGAGATCCGTTGTTGCTGCCCTAAACGCCAGATGGCGTAATGGGTAGTAAGTAAGTAAGTAAGTAAGTAAGTTGATGAAAAGCAATACCTATCTATCTTAAATTGAAGTGGAGATATTTAAAATAGAAGGAGACTGGGGTCGCCTGGTGTCAGAGATCAAATTAGGGTGAAGATGGCCGCCAAAGTTTGGTGATTACTAAAGCTGTAGTGTCCATGCAAACTACAATTTTACATCTATTGTACCTTCGATCAACATTTTTTCAGTAAAATTCAGGAATGTGTCTTAAAGTCAATATAAAAGGGCAGAAAAATCTTGATCGTGTAGATTTAATTATTTTGACGAGCATGTGATTTCACCCCGATGCCTCGCACATTCAACAGATGGACCGTCTGGGTGCGAGCAGTGTAGAAAGAATGGGACGTTCCCCGGCTTATTAACTCATGTAGCACGCGCAGTCTGCTCATTCAACAACGCCTGAGGACGCGCTATTTCAGGGTATTCTAAAAAAAAAAAAGAAAAAGAAGCATAACTTCGTTATTCATAAGATTATTCACTTCGAGTTTCTTCATCTGACACTTTGAAAAGAAAGAATTGCAACATGTGCATACTATGAAATATACAAATTCATGTTTCAAATTTGTATAATGATACATGTAGTTTGGAGCGTATCATGACATTGCCTTTGGTTCACTGTTGATCAATAATTCAATGGGTCCGTTTATACCTTAACTCTTTAGGCACGTAGCGGGCATATCGTTGTCGTCATGATGAGGCCGGATAAGTGACATCAAGTACATTTTCCAGGAGAAGGAAAAAAATAGATTTACATTGTATTAAAAGGACGGATTAGAGTTATCCGATTTTCATACTGATTAAAAACTCCACTTCTGGTTGTTTATTTGAATAATTATAATTTTTTTTAAACAGTATATGAAACATGCTTGGTAGAATGTCTTTCGTAAGAGTAAAAAAGCAAAATCGAAAATTTTGTCATTATTGGATCGTATAATCACGTCAGCACCAAACCAAAGTCAACGTTGGGGCACACTTGATGCCATCATACACATATCACCAAAAAACCCGCAAACGAACTTGCATAATATCTTTGGTATCGAAAGCAATCAGTTCACTTCAGTCCATTTTCGGGTACTCTTAAACACAGGAGACCAAAGAAAAAGAAGAAAAAATACACCTAGTTTTGTTGTGTTGTTTCTGTCAGGAATGAAAAACAAGGAAACTGTAAGCTTTTATCATTGCATTAAACTGCATTTTGGTGATGCTGAAAGGTTCATCTTTGATAGAGCTTTGGGAGGGTGTAAAATCGAAAGTTTCAGAAAATGGGACTGAAATGATTTGTTTGCCACAGCGACGATGTTTGATAGTATACATGTTGCTGTGTGTCTTTCTGAGTGTCAGATGACCAAAAAAAAAGAATTGAAAAAAAAGTATGAATATCAAACGTATGCTTCTTTTCTTTAAAATCCTCCAAATAGAGCCTCTTCACGCGTTCTGTTGTCATTTTAAAAAGTACAGTATATTATGCAGTTTTTACAATGTTACAGGAGATTTTTAAAATATTACCTCAAATGTTGTCACCAGGAGAACAACATTAATTACAGATATTAAGGAAGGTACTATCAAAATTGTATTCTATAAATATTGACGTGGGATATTTACAAATAATAATATTTTTATGGATACAACATTCTGTTTTTTGGCCGTCATGTAAAATTGTAAAAACTGCATGGACTGTTCTTTAAAAAAATGATGGCCGCGTTGTGGAAAAGACGAGAAGGCTGCAATTGTCCTCACAGAGTTAAACAGCAGAGGCTCATCAGCTGTCGTATAAAGTTGTCCCGAGGAGGGTGGGCGGGTGGAGTGTCGTGTTTATGGTTCAGTGACGGCATATGTGGCACGACGTGGTGGAATCAGACGCTCGTCAATTTTTGGGCATAGGAGATTATTGGTATTCTATTAAAGCCGGTCCATTTGCCTTGCTTATCGTGAACAAAATAATCCATCTATATCAAATAGTTTTCGAGATGTTTGCAATTGAAGGAGGTGAGAGTCATCTGGTTTCAGAGGTAGCGAGAAAATGGCCGCCAAAGTTTCTAACTTCCATAGCTTGAGAGGCCTTTGAAATTAAAAATTAACATTTTTTAAGCCTTTAATCAGTGTTTTCCAGTACAATCCACACAGAAATGTGTTTTTAAATTAACGTAAAATGTGTTCAGTAAATAGAAGAAAATTAGAACAAAACTGCCAGACGGCCAGAAAACGCGTTTCTTTGATTTCAATATGTTGACGAGCGCTTGATTTCACCACGATGCCTCACCTATGAGCTTCTGCTGCGCACTCGGCTCAGTCACTCGTAACAGTAAACTCCTTTTAAAAGAAAACAAATACCAAAAAAAGAAAGCTCACAAAAGACCGCCCCCCCCCCCTACTAAAAACAACAAAACAAATCAAAACAGAAAGACGTGTCCTTGACTCCAAGCCGGAGAGAAATCAATAATATACATGCTCATAACGCATGAGAGGCTCAATGTTATTTTCTTTGATATATTATACAAGGTAAAAAAATGAACATCTCCTTGATCAGCAGGAATGTTCGACCGTGTGTTGGCTGAAAGAACAGCGGTGTAATATTGCAGTCGAAAGAATCAAATTTCCAAAGTTGTCAAATTTAGCATAGTTTCGTTCACTTCTGAAACAACCCACCCACAGGCAAAATGTAAATGCCGACTTCTCGGTTGAATAACAGATCAGCTAGAAATGGAGAGTAGGGAAAATTAGTGATTATTCCCTAGCCAAAAATGATACACAATTTAGGTAATTAGGAGGCAGGCTTCGGCCGTGCCTGCCAGGACCCCTCCGGGGTGAGAGAGTTACAACATCTCAACAAAAAGACTGTAAACCGAAAGAATAACTGCACCTACATTATGTATCTTTTCTTGTTCTGTTTTATTTGGGGGAGGGGAGGGGGGGGGAAGGGTCTAACATTAAGAACTTGAACTTCGATAAAATATTTCTTTAACGTGCAACTGATACCGCATATTATTATCTAGAATTTTTTTAATGATCAAATTTACCCCACTCAAGAATCGAACTCTGGTCTCCTGTGTGCGACGATAGAGCGTTTAACGGAACAACACATACATTGGTATAATAGGCGCTTATATGACCTTATGCAGTTGCGACCGCCGTAAAACCTCTACTAAAACGAACAAAACACACTCATATAAAATTATTGGCTACCAAGTTCAAACAACGAATCACTATAATATTATTTTCTAACGAAATTTCTTTTAAAAATGTTATGTGTCGGCTAATAAAACTATCTTTACCTTTTAAAACGTAAAATGAACGCTTTAAATATCATGGGACTAATGACAAGTGTTGCTAGTAGTATTCAACTTTCGAAAGAAAAAAAAACCCCGTATTATTTCCCTTTGAATGTGCTGTTTTTGGCCTCTATGCCGAGGCTATTATCTTTTACATAGTCGTTTTGCTTCATCACATTTTACTTTCCTTACACAGTTAGGGATGTGATGCTTATTTGTTCATTGTTCTTTTGAAATGT